CGGGAGAGGCCACAGCAGTGAGAGGCCCGTGTACCGCCAAAAAAAACCCAACAACAACAACAAAGGCCAAGCTAAAAAACATGATAGGATACTCAACCTCACTCATATTAAATACAAATTATGGAGATATTATTTCCCACATATTAGATTGGCAAAGATTATAAAGGTTTATAATACCTGGTGAGGATATTGGAAAATGAGGCATTCTGATTCATAGTTCATTGATTGATGCAATAAACACTGAGCAACTTCTCTATGTTCCAGGCACATGCCAGACCCTGGAGGTACAGGACTGAACAGGGCCTTTAAAGATCATTTATTCTAATTGGGCAGGGACAAATAGTCTACAAATAAATAATATTTGGGGTAATGAAGTGCAATGAAGAAAAAGTAAAGGGTAAGTGGTCAGGTAGGCCATTTTGTAAAAAGTAATTGAAGGAGGACCCTCTGGGGAGGTGACATTTGAGCCGAGACCAACCTGTATGAGGTACAATCAAGGGAGCAAGCCCTGTAGCCATCCAGAGGAAGATCATTCCAGGCAGAGGAAACACGCAAAGGCTCTGAGGCAGGAGTACGCTTGATGGATTCAGGGAATAGCAAATCGTTTGGGTCAGCTGGAGTTTGGGGGTTGAAGGGGAGGGAGATAACAGATGGCTTGGAAGAGGTTGCCTTCAAGGCCATGATAAGGGCTTTGGCTTTTGTCCCAAGTGTGTCACAGGAAGCCATTGGACATTTTTGAGCAAAAGAAAGATGTGATCCAACCTATGTCAAAAGGATCAGCTGCAGTTCTTAAATGTAGGAATCATCAGCATATAAGTAATATTTTAAAACGGTGAGACTAGATGGGATCTCCTAGGGAGTTAGTATAGAGAGAAAAGGTTTTCATAGATGCTCTTTATGAAGTTGAGCAAGTTCCCATCTACCTTAGTTTGCTGAGAGGTTTTGGTCAGGAATTGATGTTGATTTTTTTTTTCAAATGCTTTTCCTGCATCTATGAGATGCAGGTTTTTCTTTTTTAGCCAGTTAATATGGTAGTTTACACTGAGTTACAAATGTTAAACCAACCTTAGATTCCTAGGATAAACCCCACTTAGTCATGATCTATTATCCTTTTAAAGTACTGTTGAATTTAATTTGCTGAAATTTTGTTAAGAAATTTTGCATCCATGTTCATAAGGAATGTTGTTCTGTAGCTTTCTTTTCTTGTGATTTCTTTATCCAGTTTTGGTATCAGAGTAATGCTATAATCACAGAGTTGAGTTATGAGTTATGAAGCATCCCCTTCTCTTCTTGTTTGTTTTCCAGAAGCATTTGTGTTGGGTTCTTCCTCTTATATAGGAGGTGCTCAATGCATGCTATTACTGTTGCAGTAATCCCCCTCTTCCCTTTCAGGCAGTAGGTGGATAAGCTTTTCCTGTGGTTGAATAGTTTTTAGATGTGAGCACACTCACTCAGAGAAGTAACACTTCTTTATTAGGCTTGAATGTAACTCATAAGGTTGAAATGCATGCAAAACCTTATTTTTTTTCAGTTTGTGGGTGCTGAAAACTTTTTATACCTTTGAGCAATCTGTCTCAATATTTTTAAGTGTATGGAACTTGTTAGCAGATAGTGAAGTGAAGCCCATCTGGGTCTGGATTGGGAAAGTTTTCTTTGTGGGAAGGTTTTCAACTATAAATTCAGTTTGTTTAATATCTGTAGGGTTATTCAGGTTATCTGTCTCTTTTTGAGAAAGCTTTGCTCTTCAAAGGACACTTATGAAAATGAAAATTTAAACCACTGGCTGGGGGAAAATATTTGCAAAAAAAGTTTGCAAAAACAAGCCCTGACAAAGGGCTCGTATCTGTATAGATAATTCTTACAATTCAATAATAAGAAAGCAAACAACCCAATTAAAAATGGGCAGAAGATTTGAGCCGACACTTCAGCAAAGAAAATACACAGACAATGAATAAGCCCTTGAAAGGTGCTCAACATCATTAGTTATTAGGAAAAAGTAAGTTAAAACCAGAAGGAGATACCACTACACACCCAGTGGAATGGCTTAAATTTTAGAAGACTGCCCATAGTAAGTGTTGACAAGGATTGGGAGCAACTGGTGCTCCCATCTGCTGACGGGAATGTAAAATGGTACAACCATTTTAGAAAACAGGTTGGTAGTTTCTGAAAAGTGAAAAATATATCTACTATATGATCCAGCCATTCCACTACTAGGTGTCTACCCAGGAAAAATAAAAGCATTTTCCACACAAAGACTTGTACACAGATATTCTTAGCAACTTTATCTGAGATCACAAAAAAAGGTAAACAATCCAAATGGCCATCGACAGGCGAATGGATGCGGTGTACATCCATACAAGGGAATGCTTAGCTATAAAAAGAGACGAACTGTTGAAACAAGCGACAACACTCTGCTCAGGGGTGGGACTGGGGGCAGTATATGAGAAGCATGTCTTTCTATAACTTAAAACATTGCTTTCCAAAGATCTGAACTGGAAAATTATTTGAATATGAATTTTATGGAATCAGCACCATGATTTGAAGTGCTGTGGTACTTCAGCTGAGTAAAGAGTTGAATTTGCTAACAAGCCCTCCAGGTGATTCTCATACACCGGGAGGGCTAAGCTCATGGCCATGCAAAGATAGCATGCATGTGCTGAAATTGAGTTAAATTTCGTATTAGAGTGTGAGAACCACTGGCCTCAGGGCTGTCCACAGGCAGGGGCACTCAGCTCCACTCAGCTCCAACAGCCGCCTTCCATATCCTCGCTGGGAGCTACTTCTGGGTCCTTTCCACCCTCAGGGCACCTTAATAGGCTGGGCAGCCATTCCTTCTGTGCTGCCATCACCCCACCCGTGTTGGCACAGGGCACCCTGTAGGTGGTCTCCTCAAGCCTTCTCTGCCTAAATACTTGCCTCAGCTATTTCTAAACTGCAAAAGAACATGGTTATGAAATAAGGCAGAAGCAGGCAAAGTGCCATAATGGATGTGCAAACAGAGCCCACAAGGAGCATTGACGGGGAAGAGACCTACACCCCTGGAAGGCGTGGGCGTGGAGGAACTGGATTCCTGGGCAGGCTGCCCCTGCCAGAAGCGGGAATCAAATCTTTTCAAATTGATTCCCCTTTCAGGGGAACTAATAAATTATCTTGCCATTAGAGGGACTTGTGATACTTGTTCCTTTGGATGGAATCTCTTTTATGAATAAATCTCATTTAGTTTTGTTTTTTTTTAGTTAAATTGCTTACCACTGCAGTGAAACATAATTTTACAATTTAGGGGACCACCCTAAAGGGAAGTAGAACCAAGTAGGATTTCACATGGTCTCAGATCCAGTAACCATTGTAAAAGTGTGAAATCAGATACTTCTAGGGGGTGAAAATAGAATACAGCAGATACTTCTGGGAAAAAAGTCTTCAAATTGTTTTATGTCTCTCAGTGATCAGTCTAAGCTCATGGCCATGCAAAGATAGCATGCATGTGCTGAAATTGAGTTAAATTTCGTATTTTTAGTTGTCTTAGATCATCAAAACATCTCGGAAAGCACAGCTGTGAAACGCACTCATTAAGCACCTATCTACTTATTGAACATTTTACACGTTTTCTCACTTGATGTATTTAGATAAATCTATCCATCTACAGCTACAGCAATTAAAGGTCTCATCACAGTAGATTAAAGCAAAAACTTTAAATGTGTTAAAATTTTTCTTTAAAAATTTAAATCCGGTGAAAATACAATGAGCGTCTTTTCCCACGAGAATACAGAACATTGTCCCAAACAGTTCATTAGTCTACAGGAATAGCTCATACATGTTGCACGTAGTTCTGTTGGTTTGGGGTTTTTTGTGTTTTAATCCTTAAAAAAATGCAGGTTTCTTTAGGCAGCGTGAGATTCTGTGTTAGACTTAAAAGGAATGGGAGTGTCTCCTACCTGCCAGGTTTGGCTTCTCTTGCATGGGATCAATCAACATTGTTATGGGAACATAATGATTGTTCACAGGGCGAGGAGCCTTATCTCACCTGAAGGGTAGCATTTCCCTCTGGCCGGGAAGCAGCAGACCTGTCACTGCCACTCAGAAGTGGTACTTCTATAGCCCAAAGGAAGGAGGCCGAACACTGACCTGCAGAGTGTCTATAGTCCTTTGTTATCTCTTTGGGATTTTTCCTCCCTCCATTGGCACAAAGCCACCTGGGGGGAAAAAAAAGAAGTACTAATTCCACCGTATGTTGACACAGAAAGCTATACTGCTTAGAAGGAAAGAAGAAGCATTACTTCCGAGTCTCAAGGAAAACCTTGAATAGAATTTCCAAAGTATGGTGGCTATAAAATTCTGTTGAGTTATTAAATATTGCAGATAGCTAGAAGTGTTTAAAAGTGTGTATTTTTACCCTGAGTATTTAGCCGGTGACTTTTTAAAATTTAAAATGCCTTTGCATTCTTGAAAGCCGAGTAAATTCACACAGTATTGTCTCACAAAATGTTTTCAAGAAGCCCTTAGTGTATGTTCCCTTGTGAAGTATTTAAGCATAAAGTGATTGTAGTGCCGGACTTACCTGATAATACACTATGACTTGAGAAGCACTTACAAAAGAGTCCTTTATTGACTATAAATTAAGAACCTGCCATTTCAGCTGACTTGGCCTTTTGCCCTCTGCAACAATGAGTTCCTTCTGGAAAATTATCAAATATCAAATATCCATAAAACACGTAAGGTACATGCTTTATGGATATCTGAGTTGAACAGGGTGACTCACACAGATATTCCCAAAGGAATTTTTAAGTTAGAATACCACTAAAATGTAATTAGCTTTTGTCACCACTGTTGTCCACGTTAATTCAGATTAAGTGATTAAGTTAAACATTACCTAAAATGAAAAAAATGGTCTCTGAATTTTAAAACTCCCAAAGTTAAAGTAGCAAAAATGTGTTCTTTACCATGTTAGAGGATAAGAAAATGTTATAAAACATGTTTACTGACTTTCGCCTTTCTCTTCTTAGAAATTCACACCAGAAATAAAAGTCTCCCTGGGAAGGTCTCTGCTTGGGGTCCCTGGCACCCTAAGCAGTCAGCCTGCTGGGGCCGTCAGGCAGGGGCCAGCCCCTCGCCACGCCCATCTAGCCACAATGTCTTTCTCAAAGTGCAGCCCAGGGATCTGCGTCTTGATCAGACGGGGCTCCCCTGCCTGCCCCCTTCTCACCACTGCCTGAGGATCAGAGTGGGTGGATCGGCCTCAGAGTCTGCATTTCATCCCCTGGCACCGCACCGCCCATCCCCAGGTGCAGAGGATAGGGACTACCCCCCACCACCTGCCTCCACCTCCCCGACCCCAGCCTACTTCAGTCCCCTCTCTGTCTGAAAAGGCATCAAAGGGAGCTCCGTTCTTTCAGTTCCTCTGCACCCACAGCGCCTCCTGTTTTTGGCATTTAGTATAGTCTGATTCAGCGTGTGTCCTGTTGTCCTAACTAGGCAGGAAGTTGGAGACTGGGGGCCATTTCTCATGGCTCCATATAGAGCCCTACATCCAGTATTTGTTTAATAAATGCCTTTGATGAAAGTAATGATGATAAAAAAAGGAAAATTACAAAAAGCTTCCTACTTTCTTATCAGTTACCACAGTGCAATGATCACTACTTAATGAATGAACGTAGTTGTCTGCCTTCCAAATGTTGGTTTGGAATCAAACTGAAGTACTTTTAAGACAGAAGGGGGAAGGAAATGGACATAACTTTTGCCCACGGTCTACCTGTGGCCTCATCCACTAAGTATATAGTACTCAGAATGTGCCAGGCACCGTCCTAAGCACTTGACCCAAATCGCCTCTTTTAATCCTTGCGTCATCTCGGATGATGTGGTGCTGTATTATTTTACAAATAAGGACATTGAGACATTCTGCTCCCAGGTAGCCTAGCTCCAGAATACGTGGGCTTTACCAACTTACAGAGCTATGTCTGGAAGACCTCAGCCCCTGGTGATGTCAGTTTGGAATCTAAGGAACCGCAATGCTACTCCAAAGAAGAAAACATTAGCATATGTGAGGAGAGTGTATCCTCACCAAACCCCTCCTCCAAGCCTCCTCCCCAAGCCTGTTTGTCCTTTGTGCTCAGGTCTCAATCACAGCTCCGTTGGCTAACCACCCAAGCTATATGTCGCCAGCCCTCGCTACCTGTCACCGCCAACGTCTCATCCGTCACTCAGCCCTGGTAGTTCCATCACCGAGTTTCTCTCTGGCTAGTGTCCAATCTTCCGTCGACACAGTTACCGCCCACCTCAGGCCCTCATCTCCTCCCCACGGGTAGGTTGCAAAACCTCTCACCTTTCCAAACATTTCTCATTCCTCTGCCAGTTATTTTCCAAAACTAGAGCTAATAGCACTTTGAGGCTCAAAACCCTTTGATGGCTCCCTGCTGCCTGCAACCCGATGGGCTGGCCTGGGGTCCATTACAACGTGGCTCCCACACGACTTTCCCTGTCTCACGCCCTGCGCCTTCTCCCTCCATCTCGGGCAAGGGGCTTCTGAACACTCGCGCTCGGCACCTTTCTCGTGCTGTATTCTCTGTCAGGAGTGTCCTCCCTTGTCTCAGGAGAACCTTTATTCCTCCTTGATGACCCTGCTCAAATGCCATCTCCTCCACTTTCCCCACCTCAGCTCCCAGGCAGAATCCATCCTTCCCAATGCATGGAGCACACGTCTCATTAGGGCATTTACAACATTCGTGCTAACATGCCTTGGTCTCCAGATGGAGCAATTTGATTGCCAGACAGTGAGTTGAGTATGTACCTATACACCTGGGGCTGGGTGGGAGATTTTGAGGTTAAGACACCTGAGACCTTATATGAAAAATAGAGTTCACAAAGATAAAATGATATATGTCACATGTCATAGAAGCAGCACATTTAGGAGATTTTACACATCTAATTGGTGATAATGAGGTTTATACAATTAATTTCCACTTACCACCATAGCTCATCAGAAACTTTGCAGGATTTCTCTTCTCCACATTTTCAGTGAGACGCCGGTACATCAGCTTTGCTTTACTAAGGATCATATGTATACTAAAAAGCACGTTTTGTGCTTTGCCTGGTCCTCCATCTACTTGTTAGAGCCTCTGATTTCTTTTCTCAGAGCAGCTGTCCTCATCTGCTGATCCCCACAATGACCCCAGGGTAGAGTCCCATGGAGTTTTGTGATGCTTTGAGGCACTTTTATTAAAAGGATTGAAGGATACCTACGTAAGTAATGCTCAACTGTCTCCCAGCTCCCAAGTAATACAGCCATAGTGATGCCCACGATAATTTCAGACCAAACACACACCAGTCCCTTTCCCCTCATGGAAAGCAATCCTGATTTCTACTTCTTCTTTCTCTTTTTTTTTTTTTTTTTTTTGCGGTACGCTGGGCTCTCACTGTTGTGGCCTCTCCCGTCACAGAGCACAGGCTCTGGACGCGCAGGCTCAGCGGCCATGGCTCACGGGCCCAGCCGCTCCGCGGCATGTGGGATCTTCCCGGACCGGGGCACGAACCCGTGTCCCCTGCATCGGCAGGCGGACTCTCAACCATTGCGCCACCAGGGAAACCCTCTACTTCTTCTCTCTTGATGCTTGTCTCAAAGTTCTCCTGATTTTTCCCTTCTCCTTTTTTCAATCTCTAAATCTTCCTTTCTCTAATTACCACCAACAGATGCAATTCAAAATTCCAGATACTGGAATTGATAGTCTCATGGTGTAGAAAAGATACACAAAAGTGAGTGTATCTACACATAAAAACCGAGTTCATGAAATGTCAACTTTGGGCAAGTGACAGTCCCTTTCCCTGTTTCCTACCTATGAGGTTAATATCTCTTGTACTAAAATTTGATGAGATGCTACAGCTTTAAATGGATATTGTTTTATAGCTGAAGATGTTTTACCACTAGACACCTTTTCTTTTAAGAGTAAAATATGCAAATGTGAGCCAGCAAGCAGAGCCAGGGCCTCCCAGCTCCCCTGCCTGTGGCGTTTCCTTGAACTGGCAGGAAGCATCATGGCTCCACCTCACTCCGTGTTAGTCACAGGCAAGAGAGGTTTCCTGTTGCAACTGTTGAGCCTTCACTGAAATGACTGCTCTACAGTGAAGCCATAAGAAAAGAATGTGAGATATCTGGGTTCTAGTTGCCAGAAGGAGGGTGACACCCAACTTGACATGGCTCCTTCTGCCTCCATTCAGAAACAGGGAGAGAGTCTGGATGGAGGGCCACGTATTGGACGAGACTCACCTGAGACCACAGTCATCCTGGCCCAGCAGGTGGCCAAGGTGAGGCAGGGGCAGAGTCTCCAAGAGCAAGCACGTTTGCAGCAATGCCACTGAAGACATTTGAAAACAGAGTGTGTGGCGAACACAACGTGGAGAGTCAGTGCTTGGGAATCAACTTAGAGAACGATCAAACGCCATCTCCCAAGCCAGATGTTGTCACAAGGAGCCCTGGCCACGGCCCTGCCACATTTAAAGTGTCCAGGCTGCTTTATGACGGGGCCACAGGCGAAACCCCAGAATATCAGGCAGAAATACTCACATGTCAGCTGCACCACCCCCTAGAGGGAAAGTGTGGGATTTGGAAATGAGATGCCTGGGTTCATGTCCCGAATTTACTGGCTACGAGACTTTGAAAATATTGTTTGATCTCTCTGGACCTCGTTTCTCCATCTACAAGATGGGCGTAACCCTCTCTACCTCATAGGGTTGCTTTAAGGATCAGGTGACTCAGGTACGTGATTGCTTTGAGCACTGGCTACCTCCAGGAGGTTGCTGTCATTACCAACCTGAATAACAACAATCGTTGATCCTCTGTAATGTGCTTATCCCCATGCTAGATGATGAGGGATTTTTTTAAATATGATATATAGTTTCTGTTCCTTAAGCAGCTTATAATACAGTGAGGAAAATGGTGAGATGGAACATTTAATGTTTATTGAGTTCTAATAGGTCTGGCATTGTTTGAAACACTTTTCATGAAACAAAACAAACCTATCAGCCCTTGGTGACAGGGATCTCTCACATTCCCCACTTGAGGAAATTGAGGCTCAGAGGTTCCAGAATGTCCTAAATCACAGGGCTGGGAGGCAAGGGTGGAGATTCCACACTCTCCCTTCCACACCCCATTTGTCCGGAGCGGATGACTTTCATCTCACAAGAGGCACTGGCAAACGGGGTGAGACACAATGGCTCTGGTGAACTGGCTGGTACAGATTCTTGGATGTCAGGCATGGAGGCTCTGCCCTCATCTTGCTACTACTTCAGCTATCCCTTCAATATGGGCTGTTTCAGGGTGAGGTCCCTGCCTGTGACAAGCCCTGCACATGGCTGGTCAGGCTGCAGTTAGGTTGCATGGCCAACAAACAAGTGCTTGGACGGATGGGACAGGGTTCCTGCCCTGCTGGTCTCTAAAGAAGATGGAAGCAAACCCTTCAGGGCCTTTGAGCCAGGCATCGCGTGAGATTCTTTAACTCATTATCCTTTGTAACTCTGCAAAACTTGATACTGTTTTCCTCATTTTACAGTTGAGAAAACTGGGGACTGGCAGTGAAGTAGACTGCTTAAAGTAAAAACAGGAGGTAGATCTGAGGTTTGAATCCAGATCTTATGCACTTCAAGTCATCCCCTCAAACTCATGCAAAACTGAATTAACTAAAAGGCACAGATGCTTGTGATGAGTGGTTATTCAGGGGTAGCTGAGGAGCTGGGGGAGGAATTTGTATGGGACGGGAAGGGTTCCTGGAGGAGATGGCATTGGAGGTCGGCCTTGAAAGAAGATGCAGGACAGGGATGGTGAGGTGGAGAGAAGGAACAGCACAGGAAACCAGGGGCCTGAAATTGCAGGATGTATTCAGGGAACTCTGTGATGGGGTCCAGGGCATTTAACTGGGACATAAATTTGGAACTGTAGGTTGGGGCCAAATTGGGAAGGAACTTGAATGCCAGGCTTAGGAGCTTGGACTGCAGTCTGTAAACTGTGGGTAGCCAAGATCAGAACTATTCTTAGCAACCATTCTTAGAGTTGGGGGACACTGGAGCTGGAAGGGACCAGATGACCTGTCCAACCTCATCCTTTTCCGGAAGCCCAAAGAGGAGTGACTCTACTGAGGTCACCAGCAGGTCAGTAGAACTTGGACTAGAACACAGGTCTGTGACTCTCCCAATCCACCTCCCGGTCCGCCTCTTTACTTCCACAAGTCTGTTAAAACCAGGTGGTCGGTCTCCTACGGGAGAGGGGCCCAAAATTCATTTCCTATTCTGAAGCCCACGACTTGGGAAGTTACCTCAAAGATCCTCCTTCTCTTAAAAAAAAAAGGACCCAGGGGCTTCCCTGGTGGCACAGTGGTTAAGAATTCACCTGTCAATGCAGGGGACACGGGTTCAATCCCTGGTCTGGGAAGATCCCACGTGCCGCGGAGCAACCAAGCCCATACGCCACAACTACTGAACCTGTGCACTAAAGCTCGAGAGCCACAACTACTGAGCCTGTGTGCCACAACTACTGAAGCCCACGTGCCTAGAGCCCGTGCTCTGCAACAAGAGAAGCCACCACAATGAGAAGCCTGCGCACCGCGACGAAGAGTAGCCCCTGCTCGCCGCAACTAGAGAAAGTCTGCATGCAGCAACGAAGACCCAACACAGCCAAAAATAAATAAAATTTAAAAAAGAATTGTTAATTAAAAAAAAAAAAACACTGATTGCTTACTCATAGTGTCTAGTTATCATACATCCATACGAAGAAATAATATGCAGCCATTTTTAAGGTGCAGTAGATGTACAGGTGCTGACATGGAAAATGTGTAAAGTAAGTGAAAGCAAGCAAGCTGAGGAGGGCTGGGCACAGTATGCATCCCACTGTATAAGAAAATAAAACGTGTGTATGTTTGTGGATGCATATGAAATATCTGGAAAGTTATACGAAAACTGGTAACAGTGGTTATCTCTGGGGAGAGGGACAGGAGGGAAGAAGGAGCAACTCTGTGCTCTAAACCCTCTGTATTGCTTACATTTCCTTCTTCTGTTTTTACTATCAGCATGTATTATTTTTATAATTTTAAGAATAGTAAAAAAATTTTAAATAAGGTATTGCCAACAGCTCATAGATACGGATTTTAACTTCTATTTTAGAGAGCTCTTGGAGACAAACTAAATAAGCCAATACTCAGATTTACAAAATAGACCCAATTTTTTTATTAGTACATCTAAGTTCTAATAACCTCGGGCCTTTACTGTTCTTGTTTTTGGATTTATGGTTTGATATTTATTCATCCATCCCATATTTATTTTGTGCCTATCGCGTACCAGGCAGTGGGACTGAAGCACGAGGTCGTGCGTCTTCTGCAATAGGAAAGCCATTTAAGCCAGTCCCCGATGTGGTCCAAATGGGAGGAGGCTGAGGGCCAGAAGAGATGCCTGCAGAGGAAGGTACCCATCCAGTGAACACTTCCTGGACAGCTTCTATGTGAATACCAGGAGGCTGGGGACCGTAAAATGAAAGCAGTACAATCCCTGCCCTCTCTTGAAAAGCTCCCACTTATGGTGGAGACAGAAACAAAGAGAAAATCGAGTATTACAAACAGAATGTGGTAAGTGTGGTGATGGGGTGATGCACAAGTACCGTGGGTGCACGTGGGCCACTTAACCCAGCCTAGAAGGCCGGGGAGGACAGCTGGAGGAAGGGGAGGCGGTCCTAGCCCAGCCTGGACGCTTGAGTGGAGTTTGCCAAGCAGGAAGAGGGGGAGCAGGGGCTGGGGGGCAGGGCGTGTTCTTAGCAGAGCAGAGCAGGGCCAGGAGCAGAATTGCAAAAGGGCGGGCGGAGCTGTTCAGTCACACTCGTGCTAAGGTGTCTGGACTTTATCCAGAGTGTAAAAGGTGACATGATCTAAAATTTGTGCTTGATAAAGGTCACTCTGGCCACATCTGGAGACAGATTAGAGGAAGAAGAGGGAAGGATGAGGTAAAGAGACATTGTTTCCCAACTTGAGTCACGTCTGCAGCACAGCTCTGCTGATTTGCACCATATCTGGGGACCACGTGTACTATTATTTACTTAATCATTTTTAAGTTACCCCACTTTAAAAATATAATTTATTTAAACAAGATAGTGAAGAATAAAAAAGAACAGCCTCCCTGGCTCCAGCGTGGTACCCAGGGCTAGAGGACAGAAACTGGAAATGGCAGAAGGGCATGTTGGTGAGAAGCGTCTGTGGTTGCCGGTTTAGGTCCCAAGAGGCCTAGAGAACAGGGAGCAGGAAGTTGGTGGGAGTGGATGAGGGATCAGCTGGTACTGAATGAAGGCCCTAATGGCCTCCATGTTGCTAAATGCCCATCTTTCTTAACCTCCTGGCAATATGTGACCTGGCTGACCACCCCTTCCTCCTTGCTTCCTTTTCCTCCAGTGATGGTCCCATTCTTTTCTGTGTCTCTGCCACTGAGGTTCATCCCATCTCCAGGCTCTCAATACCATCTCTGTGCTGATGATTCCCAGATGTCATTTCAAACCTGACTTCTCCCAGGACTCCAGGCTCATATCAAACCATCTGCTGATACATCTACTTGGATCTCTAATAAAAACCTTGAAATTAACATGACCGAAATGAAACCCTGACCTCCTCCAGACCTTCTCTGCCTGCAGTCTTCCCCATCTCAATGATGGCCAAGCATTCTTTTCAGTTTTCAGCTGAAAACCTTGTAGTCTTTGACTCTCTGTTTTTCCTCTTACACCCTATATCCGATTTTCAGGAAATTCTGTTGGTTTTACCTCCAGAATAGATCCAGAATTTGCACTTCTCACCACTCCACCCTACCACCCTAGGCCAAGCGACTAGTATCTTTGGCCTGGTTTCCCTGCTCCCACATTTGTCCCCTACCCCCCAACAGCCAGCTTATTTACTTTCAAACAGGAGTGAGGTCATGTCACTGCCCTATTCCAAACCTTCCAATGCTTCCTCATCTCACTCTAGTAGATGCCAAAGACTGTGCAAGGGCACCCAAGCCCCACAAGGAGTGTTCCCTGCCCCCATTACCTCCCTGAATGGATCTCCCTTGTCCTTCTGTCCTCCAGCCCTTCTGGGCTCCTGCGGTTCACCGAACACACCGGGCGTCCCCACCTTCCCCAAGGCTGAGCCTCTGCCTTTATTTTGTCTACGGTCTGTTACCGCAAGAAGGATGCTGGAAGAAGGCAGGAAATTTCGTTCCCTCTTTTCACTGCAGTATCCCCACCATCTAGAACAGTGCCTGGCATAGAATATTTGTTGAATGAAGGGCAGACCCTGGAGAAGGGAGCTTCGGCTCAGGAAGGACAACTGCGGCCAGGAATAAGTAGGGGTGGAAATGAATGGAAGTTGGCTGGTGAGAGGAGTGAGACGGCTTTAGGGGTGCCGGGAGGGGCGGCAGTCGGGGAGGAGAGTGCGGGGTGGCGGGTAAAGTCGGGATGTGGTTCCCAGAGGGCTAAGACGTAGGCAGAGATGGAAATTCGAGACTGGTGGGGTCGTCCAGAGAGGTGGGGCCCAGGAGACGGGAGGGGCAGGCACTTGGGACGGAGGCGGCTCCCGCGAGGCTGGGGCGACCACGCCACGGGCACCCACGCTGGCTGCACCGGGGGCGGGGGAGACGACGGGTTAGGAGACTGTGGCAGTCTTCCAGTGACTGTCACATAGTGGACAATCTGAAGTGGATGAACAGGGGGTTCTAAAGCCAGAGAGTGTCGGTGGGCAAGACGAGCAGGGAGACATCTGAGCCTCCTCGGGTAAAAGCCAGAGCCTCGTAAGTAAGTGCACGCGGAATGAGAGGTGAGCGGGGGCACGAGGAGGGGGGGCGCTCCACAGACCCCAGGCGGGAAGGTGCCCGAGGCAGCCGAGCGGCGGACCGCGGGAACCGGTGAGGGGCACAGCCGCCGGGTGAGGAAGCTCCATCACTGGAGCAGCGGGCGGGCGAGGAAGGAAGAGCGCCCAGCGCCCGGGAAGGCGGCGCCAGGGCACGGCCCGTCCCGCGGGTGGGCTGCCGAGGGCCGTGACCGTGGGGCAGAGCTGGGACGCAGCGCCTGGCCGCCCTGCCGTGGGAGCGCGGAAGACCGCCGAGGAGCTGCAGGTGCGCACTGGGAGCCTCGCGGCTTTGCCAGTCCGGACAGGTGGGAGGCGCGAGCGCCGGGCGCGCCACACGGACGCGGCCACGCGGAGCGGCGGACCCCCGCCCGCGTCGCTCGGCCCCGTCGCCTCCCTTCGGCCCCGCCCCGGCGCCCCGGCGCGCCGGCCAATCAGGCAGCGCCGCCAGGCTCCCGGCCCCGAGGCCCAGCCCTGTGCTTGAGCGCCGCCAGCCAATGGGAGGCTGGGCCCGGGCGCCCTGTGCTCGCTGCCCGCGCGGAGCCGGCTCAAAGCGAGAAAAGCGAACCCAGCCCGTCGGGGCCGCCGCTCTGGACCCTCCGCCGCCGCCGCTGCCGCCGCCGCCTCCTCCTCCTCCTCCTCCTCCTCCCCCCGGATCGGGTGTACTGTCCCAACCCGAAAGTCCAGTTCTGCGGCCCGGCAGCGGCGAGCGAGCACGATGACACAGGAGTACGACAAGTGAGTGAGGGCGCTGGCAGGCGAGTCCGGCCGTGCGGCCGGGCTCCTGTTGCCCGGCCGGCCGGCCGGCCGGCCGCACCTGCCGCGAGGCAGGGCGGGCGGACGGGCGAGGCGAGGGCCGGGGCGGGTGCGAGGTCTGGCGGGCGGGCGGGCGGGGGGCGCCTGTGCGAGGCCGGGCGAGGAGGCGGGGGTGCCAGGCTGGGAGGGCGGGCGTCTCGCGTCTCGCCGCCCGCCTTCTTCTCCGCCGCGGCCTCTGCCTGTCCGCACCCCCGGCCGCCTTTGTTCCCCCGAAGACCCCTGAGGGGACCCCTGCCTTGGGGGCCTTGACTCCTGAGAGGAGCCGCCACTCCCGGCCTCCGCGTCCTGGTCTGGGGGACCACCCCACGGGCGCGCCCCGCTGCTGCTCTCCGGTGACCCGGGTGCGCGGCGGGAGCTTCGGGGCGCCCCGCTCGCGGGCTGGGGCTCTGCCCGCCGGCGGCCCCGTGTCCCCACCGGGGCGTTTTCGCTCAGGGGGGACAGTGGAGCTCTTTGGGACGCGCTCCACGGCTGGAAAGGGAGAGCTTCTCAGGTAATCTCTGTCGCTCAGCCGTGTCATTCGGCCAGGCTGCTAGAACTTCCGAAAGGAGAAATTGAGGGGAAAGTGGAAGTGCTCCGGTGTCCTGGCATTTTCTTTTCCCTGGCTGAGAAAATTGTTGCATTTTTTTTTCCCACTTGCCTCACTGATGGTAATTACGGATTATTGCAACTAGCAATGCTCAGAAATATCAAGAGGATGGAACTTTGAAATCAGGATGGTAGACTAGAGAGCACTGTGCTTACTAACGTGCTTTTTTGGCGATCGTGATTAAAGAAATATTTTCACAAATGTAAGGCGATAATGTAACTGGGTGAGGGACAGTTCTGTATTTTCTTTGCAGCCTTTCTGTAAATATAAAATTGCTCCAAAAAACAGAAGAAACAGAAAACCGCCAAAAAAAACCCCAAGTAAATCGCACCAGACCAGTCAGTGTATTTGAGATCAGTAAATCCAGGGCAGAGGGGTAACTCTCCCAGCTTTATAATTATTTGCTGAGGATCGCTTTGTTTAAGGGTGCTCTTCTTGTGGATGAGAGGTTTAGATATTATTATGTATGGATAATTTAAATTTCAATTAATCTTGTGGTGTAGAATATGCAGATAAATTATTGCTTGAACCGTATTTCAGAAGTCTTCCAGAGATCATTGATGAAGGGTTTAAGACTCAGGGAGAGGGCAGTGATGAGGCTTTAGGGACTAACAACAGCCTGACTGTCATGAGGAAGTAGACTAAAAAAGGCAGCTGGTTTCGTGTTTATTTCTTGACTTATAGTTTAGATAAGGCATATTTCCAGAGCTCCAATTTTGGCCTTAGGCATAGTTTGGAAATCTAAGACACCTTCAGGGTGATCACAAACAAAACCATTGGCAAAAAAATATTTATTTTCTGTTGCTTGTGCAGATTTGGGATGGGGGTGGGAGAAGAAGGGAAGCTGAAAAACTAGCATTATGGGAATTGAATGAGCCAAGTGCTGTCATAATCTTCTGGAAGTAGGTATTACACTATTAATAATAGCGCAGGACACCAAATCACCCCCAAAGTACCACTGGTTCAGTGGCTGTTGTTCTGTCCTCCTGATGGCGCAGGGAATGCCCCTTTGTATATTACATATTTTTTTTTTAAATTTGAGATTTGTGGGAAGTCTTCATTTTTAAACCAACCATGTGCTTTGAACAGCCCATCGTGTTTATTTTGTGTTAAAATAGTATACCACCTCAAAACTTTTCCTACCGAATGTGAGCTCCTAGGACTTTAGGAGTAAAAACATTGGCTTTGAAATAAGACAGTTTTGACTGAGGATAATTAAGTTGTAGGATTTTTTTCCCCCTTTTTTTCAAAGATGTTCTCCTTTTTCTGAATCTGTATCTGTTTTTAAAGGGCCTGGGTGACTGCCAAACCCTAACCTTGTTGATTACTTGAGAAGATAATCAATCTTTCTACATTCACTTTTAGAGTAGGTAGGTCACCTTTAGGCAATTTACATATTTCATTTGTGTGTTGCAATGAGAACTGATCCTTTAATTTGCTTTGTTAGGATGGTGATAATTCAGAGCAGTTCTGAATATTTAAAAAGCTTTTCTTAAAAAAAAAAACTGCTTCATTTTGCTGGAGGTAGTGTTCCACTTTTTCTCTTTATTGACTTACTAAACAGAACCACTGAACAGTTACTGAGGCTGTTTACATTTCAAGTTTTTGGAATCAGTCATGTTTGCTTTAATCTTTTAAGTTAAATCTTCTATAAGACTCTACTAAGTTCTCCGTTGATTTTTCTGGATTTTTCCCACTGAACTACAGTGTTAAAGTGGAACAGTTCTTGCCCAGTATGAAAAACCAGTAACGATTTTTAAAAACTGATTTCCCCACTTATTTCCTTAAAAACCTCTTTTTGTTCAGTGGCTGCATTTATTGTTGTAGATTCTTAAGTGTTTATCTCTACGATAAACAGTTAACTCCCATGCCAGAGAATTGGGCCTCCTTATTGATTTACAGTCCCCTTTGGCCACATTCCATGCTCAGTCTGCTGGTAATCAGTAGAATATTCTTACTCTCTCATATACCCCCGAGGATTAAACCAAGTCGCCCTTTTTCTTTCCGTCTTCTCCTCCTCTCCCCTTTGTTTGTAGTTTTTAAGGCATGGCATCACCGGGAGAAAGAGGGAGATATCATATACCAGCATGGTGATTGAACCATATATACTCTGTGTAAGAGGGTACAGTCCTGAATGTATATGTCTGAAGAGAGTGAATGTTCCGTTTTGCCTTACTTTGTCCTTGTGTTTGTTTTTGTAAAGTGTTTGCATAGCCTGACATTTTCTTGGAGTGGGTTTTTGACTTTTGGTTTTGGGGTTTTTTTGTGCCAGGTAGTGTGTTCTGGGTTCCATGTGCAGGTTAACTGCAGGTTCCCTGTGCTGCCTAAATACCTTATAGCTTACTGGGTGACCCACTGGGCTGCATTTAAGCGGGTTGTCTTCTGATCTTGTCTTAATTTAACTTTACTAGGGTCATTGATGAAACAATGGACTATTTTATTGGAACATCAAGGAATTGGTTGTTTGCCTTTTAAAAAATTAGCTTATGATGACCTGCAGTAGAGATATATATATATATCTCTATATATATGCAGTATATATGCATATGCATATATATGCATATCTACTGCATATATATGCAGTAGAGATAGAGATATATATATATTTTTTCTTCTTAAAAAAATTTCTCCTAAGCAAACGGCCAGTGTTGGTTCTTCAGAATGAAGCACTTTATCCACAGCGTCGTTCCTACACTAGTGAGGATGAAGCCTGGAAATCTTTCCTGGAAAACCCTCTCACTGCAGCAACCAAAGCGATGATGAGCATCAATGGAGATGAAGACAGTGCAGCTGCGCTGGGCTTGCTCTATGACTACTACAAGGTGCGTTTGCCTGCTCTTTAAAAACCCTAACAACAGCCCAAGGCACACTTGATTCAACAGCATATAAAACAGTAATTTGCTGGTAGAATGTAATGCAGGTTGCTTCTGTAGTGACTATAAATAGTTTAATGAGTACTTTGACTTACTGTGGTTCAAAGCTGAAAATCTACAATCGTAGAATCAACGGGTCATTTTTAAAATGTGTAAAGTAGCCAGCTGTTCTGGCTCTATCTGAAAGGTGAAGCTCCCATAAAAGAAGATGTTACCTGTGCCTTAATGAGATTGATCATTTTTCCAAAGGTAGTTCTTAGTGCCATCAAGAGTGAACGTTGGTTCATTTACCTGTGCTCTAACCTTTATTCCTGTGTAGTCAGAGTGGTTTCCTTTTCCCTAAATGATATTACAGAGCATTGGATTTGATTTGATTGTGGGATTCATGAAAAAAACAAAACCCGTATTTTCTAGCCTTGGACTTTCTAGTTCTAAGGTCAGGATATATTTTGTTGCCTGTTCCTAGAGATTTGGATTAGTCTTAATTAAACACAGCCTGTTCTCCGCCTGGAGTTTTACATGGTGTTCATATCTGGACACCCCTGATCTGTACCATCATCATTATCCTAATAATACTAGCTACCACTTACTGATTACCTGTATTGTGCTAGCCATGTTACCAGAATGAATGTGATTTCTGATCCCTCCAGCAACCCTGGAAAATATGTGCTATTATCCCTGTTTTGCAGATGATAAAAATAAGATTCTCAGGTCACACAACTAGTATGTGTTGCAGCCAGGGTTTCAGGTTGCGCCCAAGCGCCCGCCTCAGTGTGCCTCGCTGCCCTGTGGGGGGCAGGCTCTGCTTGCTGGCTTTACTTTGGCGTTCTTCTCTCTGACCCATAGCCCGTATATATATATAAACTGTAAGATACAGCCCAGGAATGGCTATATATTACAGCTTATTTTTACCATCTCTTTGTTTTTGAAACGTTCAAACCTATAGAAAACTTAGAATAACAAGATAATTAACTCCCAGATACTCTCACCCAGATTCACCAGTTGCCTGCCCTCTGTTACATTCTGACACTGTATTCTTCTCTGAATACAAGAAATGCAGAGGGTAAAAAGCAAAGAAGATAGTTTGATTATCAAAATGGGGGGGGCGACCTAAACAAAAGATTTAATTGTTTTCTGGTATGAGGCCATGTGTCCAGCTTGTGTTTGAGGTCTGAGGTAAGTTTTTTTCCCTTAAATATGAATGGAAACTTGCACAGTAACCGAGGATGCTAGAAGAAACCCTTGCCTGGGACGTGTGCCACAAATAGAACTTGTATTATCTGTTCTTCTTATGGCTTGTTTTATTGACTCAGTGTAAAACCATAAGTTTCTAAGTATTAAGTATGAAGTTTGAAGTTACATATTTTTAATTGAAACTTTTGAGAATGGGAGAAACCCAACAAGTTTAGTGCCAGAAAGACCTATGTAATAACACTAATTGCAGTGGTTGTATGTGTGTGTATTTTAAATAAAGGGTCATCCTAAAAGTATTTTACATCTTAAGAGATAAATCCTCATGTCTGTCCATTTAGGGTGGCAATCTTAGTAGTACTGCATGTCAGCCTTCTTGCAATAGCTGTAGGGTTATTTATTTTCCTTTTTAAATAAACTGACTTATTTGTTTCAATTCTTTGGGTGTAACCATCAGTCATTTTTATATAATAACTTTGGTAAAGCTTTAAAAGTGTGTTGTTAATACGTGAAACAATAATTTATTTTGTCTTTAAGGGTAGAATAAGAATGTAGGAATAGAATTTCTACGTTCACATTGAAAACCAGTTTCAAACATCTTAGTGGTTTTGGAGTACATGTTGGGAATAAGTCTCAGCTGGGTTGATGTCTGCAGTACACCCAGTAATGTTTGCCTGCTGTCACCTCCTATGCAAAGAGGAGCAGAATCAAAAAAGGAATAGACCCAACAGAGTTTGATTTGTCCTTTGGGTAACAGAAAGTGTGAATCCCAACGTATCTAAAGAAATTTATCATTTGGAGCCAACATTTGGATCTTGGAGTGAACCGTTAATATGGCTGATCCTTTTGGTTTTGCGTTTGATCTGAAAGGAAGGATAGCAGAGAAGAGCAGGGAGAATGTTGAAAGAGCCCAGTGTGTTTTCAGTAGCTTCTTCTCTATTACATTATGTAGATAAATGGGTAGAACCAGACCAGAGGTATTTCTTTTAACAGATAAAACCCAAACTCAATGACAAAGTAAATGTTGGATTTTCTGAATTTATTTGGCAACTAAATAAAAGTTGGTTTTTACATATCAACCCGGTGACCAGATTGTAAACTCCTTGAGGGCACATACTGTCTTATTCGTCGAGTGTCCTCGGAGCCTGGGGTTCGGTAGGCAGTCAGTAGGCATGTGAATGGTTGAGCTTACTGAAAAGTAAGGACTGTGTCTCTACTTCATGAGTAAGAACTAAATTGTTGTCGTGTGTTAATATCTAAGGTTCCACGAGAGAGAAGGTCATCAACAGCAAAGCCAGATGTTGAGCACCCAGAGCCAGATCATAGCAAAAGGTAATGTTTAATACAGAGCATAAAACAGTACACTTGAAAACGCCAGGTTTCTGTGAAAATAAAGCAAAAGTTTGTTTAAATGAACAGGCGCTGGTGGAAGAGATGGGTAAGTTGGCCTCTTAATATCTGAATTCAGATTTCATTACTGATTTGTCTCTCGCTAATAATTACGATTCTATTGCTGAGAAGTCACCCGTTTCTTTAGGTGTAGTTGCCTTTTCTAGAAAACAAAAGCAATAACTTTCTCCGCACCCAAAGGGATGTTTTTAGTAACCACGTGAGTGCACTGTTTGCTTATTTGTCTTTTAGGTTCTCTTAAGAAGGATGTGTCTTAAGGCAATGGTGGGGGTCCATTAAAAAAAATAAGTATCAATGATCTTGAATAACTGCCTAACTGAGTAGAATTTAATAAAGTATGTTCAGCTGTATTCCAAACTCCTGTTGAGGTTATTTTTGAAATCTTTTAGGTTAAAACTTTCAGAAATTCAAATTAAGCCTTGACTTTATAGCCATGAAGAAAAAAAGTTAAATGTGCCTTTTAAATTGCCCTGTGTTCTATTAGTAATAAAAGAATAAAACATTTTTAAAGAAAGAATGATCACTCAGAATCCCACTGTGCTCACAGTTTAGTTGTTTGCCGTTTGGGCGTGCAGGCGCATTTTATGGGGCTGTGATTATATTCACAGATAGGATTTTCTTCTACTCAGTATATTTCATAAATATTTTCCATATTGCTGTTTTAATCTTCATAATTTGGAAAAGGGCTTATGGCTTTTATTTTTTAATTTTTGTTATAAGCACTTTCAAACATAACAAAAGTAGAGAAATAGTATAAGCCAGTAGCTACTCAGCTTCAACTGTTATCAACTTACTTCCTCCTTTTTGATCTACTCTTCCCTCTTCTCCAACTTTCTAATTAATTAATTTTTAAATTTTATTTTTGCTAGAATATTTTAAGGCAGACCCTAGCTATCCTTAACATTAAGGCTGTTTCTGATTTTTGCTATTACAAAGCCTTAATGAACAGCTTTCTAAATAGCTTTTTCCTTTCTCGCTAAAGAAATTTCTTTAAGACAGTCTTGGGAGTGAACTTATGGTTTAAGGTTTGAATATTTTATTGATCTTGAAATGTGCAAAGTTGCCGAATAGCTTTTTTCCCTTAAAGGTATCAGCCTATATGGTTTGAGGGGGCTTTGAAAATGTATCAATTTTACTCTAAACTAAAAATCATCTTATATTACCCAGGATATTTATTAAGCCAAAAGTAATTTGTGCAAATATAGGGAAAGCAAGTGAGTCTAAGTACTGGGAGAGGTGGTGGTTGAGGACCAAGTACCTCACACTTCCTGAGCCCGTGTGCCAGGCATCATTATACGCATTTCAGTGTATTCTCGTTTCATCCTCATCACCACCTTGTGAGGATAGGTACCATCATTATCCCCATTTTATAGATGAGCACGTAGTTACTGAAGGATTTTGAATCTACCTTGTCCAACTGTAGAGTCTGTACTTTAACCACCAGCCTATACTGCTCCAGTTAATCACTTTTGTAGCTTCAGGCTTCTAGTAAAATATGATCATTTTATAGGATTATTGGAAATCAAATATAGTAGAGGAACGCTCTGAGTTCTCAGCATTTCAAATGAAATTTTACTCGATACTTCTGGATTTTACTTGCCCTGTAACTATAAAGGGTTTTTTTCCCTTTCTCTGGTAACAGGTTGTTGTGCCATTTCCTATTTATTTTGTTTCTACCAAGTATATTATTATTATTGCACGGGACCCAATAGCCCAATGCCATTAGGAAGATAAAATTTGTCAAGGAACTGTATCAGCATTGAGTTTGAAAACACAATTTTCTTTTCTTTTCTTAAAGAAATAGCATCTCAAACGTGACTGAGCAGCCCCTCATTTCTGCTGGAGAAAACAGAGTGCAAGTGCTGAAAAATGTGCCATTTAACATTGTCCTTCCCCATGGCAACCAGCTGGGCATCGACAAGAGGGGCCATCTGACAGCTCCTGACACCACAGTCACTGTCTCCATAGCAGCGATGCCTACCCACTCCATCAAGACGGAGACCCAGCACCACGGCTTTACTGTGGGGATCCCCCCAGCAGTGTATCATCCTGAGCCCACAGAGCGTGTGGTGGTTTTCGACCGGAACATGAATGCTGACCAGTTCAGCTCTGGTGCTCAACCCCCAAATGCTCAAAGGCGTACTCCAGACTCTACCTTCTCAGAGACCTTCAAGGAAGGCGTTCAGGAGGTACAGGAAATGAAAGCATCTTCCTAAGACGCTGTGTGTTTGTATAAGTATTGGGTTCCACCTCTTCCTTGTTATGTAAGCTTGAAACTCAGCCTGAAGTCAGTGGATTGGGAACAAAAGAGTTGTTTTTCTTTTTTTCTTAAAGAGAAAAGGTCCATGGGTATAATTTGTAAACTAAACCTATAAAACCAGAAATTATTATCAAGGGCACATGGCTAATCTTACAAGCAGCTGAGTTAACAATTATGATTTCAGCAAAGTGATTTGCTGGAGAATGAGAAGGAGAGCTGCATACTTAATCTTCCGTGGACAGCAGACATAGACACACAGTCTGTTTTCGGCTTTTGTCCTAGACCAAAACAAGCTCCCCGCAACTGGTCTTAATATAAAATGATTTATCATATATTTGCTTAGTGTTTCTTGCTTGGTACATTGTTGGGGAGGCGGGTAGAGCTTGATGACAAGTGCATTGTGTGACATTTACCAATTAATTCCAATTACTTCTGAGGGCTCTGTGGTGATGAACACGTCACTCGGGTAAAAGTTAGGGGCTGAGGACATTTGGAACTGTATTTAATGACTTATGGGGGAAAGGAGCATCCGTCTCCACTTACAGAGTTAGTAGAATAGTAACCTTTCCTGGGAGAGTGCACCGATCCATCCAGCCATGGTGCTGACTTGATACTGTATCTTAACTTGGTGCAGCGATAGAGCTAACTCCTAAAAGTCGTGAGATTTTGGTTGCACATTCCAGAGTTTGGACAGAATTGGGATGTGTGGGGAAGATGGGAAGAGAGAAGAAGGAAGCGCTTTGTGGGAGCACTTATGTAAATTGTCTTAATTTAATCAAGGGATGTATAAATGGATATTTTTTTCTTTTTAATTTTCTTTTAAAATTTTTTGTAGCGTCAAAATTTTTGTTTCAGACAAACTTTGGAAGAGTGGTGGGTTGCTGTAAGCCACATGCTCTGATGCTGTACCAGACGTTGGTCTTTAGTGAGCCTGATAACCAGTTACATCGTTGTGGCTTATCACGTTGATATTTCAGGTTTTCTTCCCCTCGGATCTCAGTCTGCGGATGCCTGGCATGAATTCAGAGGACTATGTTTTTGACAGTGTTTCTGGGTAATAGTTGTCTTTTAATTTGATTTGTAACTTTCAGCTTGTATGACTTACTTCCTTTTTGTTAATTTGATCTTGGAAAATCAGAGGTGGCTTTCGCAGCTTTCAACTTTACTTCCTTGCAGTCAGTGTGGTGACGTCTTTGCTGGAGGACGTTTGCTTTAGTGCATTCAGTTTTGCACTCTGAACTGTGTTTCATGTTTCCCTAATTCTTGGTGTTGGTGCTTTTTCTTTCCTTCGGTTTCCTTATGTGATGGTAGTAGTAGTGGTAGTAGAATGGAATCTCAGAGAAGAGGTGAAGGGATTAAATTAGATCTGAGGTCCCTTCTGTTTGCAAAAGTGTATAATTCTGTGAGAATTTAGGAATAACATCAGGTGGATAAAGGCTTTTATATTTTTATTAGTCTCACTCATGATAAAATAAATGGAGTCAACTGTTTATTGGGCTGACAACCTCTTTTATATGTCACAAAATTGCATCTCAGTCTGGAAATATCAATATTTTCCAAGTTATATATAAACATCTTTAGTTTTTTTAGGAGTGTAATTTCGTTTTATGCATTTTTATGTGTGCTGTATTTTTAAATAAAAGTTTTATTTAAAAGTCTAGGATTTTATGGGAATTGAGACTGCCTTATAGACCTGCCTCAAGGTACAGGAGTCACAAACTCGAATGCCTTCAGGATCTAGGATAGGGGTCAACAAACTTTTTCTGTAAACGATCAGATAGTAAATATTTTAGGCTTTGTGGGCCATACAGCCTCTGTCGCAACTGCCCAGCTTTGCCCAGCTCTGTCGCTGAAGCACAGAAGCAGCCGTAATGTGTAAACAAAGGGCGTGGCTACATTCCAATAAAACTTTATGTATAAAAATAGGAGTAATTTGCCAACCCCTGGCCCAACAAGGTTATTAAAAAACTTCAGGGGAATATAGACGTGGTGCTATAAGATAAAAGAAAATGTAGACAACCGTGGAGCGCCATCTGAGTACATTTAAATTATAAGCAAAAACAACAAAAAAGTGCTGGCAGGCCAAATCACATTTAGTCAGAGGCCTCCCGGCCTCCTGTTTGCAACCTTTGCTGGGTAAATACCAGGTTGGTAGCATGTCTTGTGAGAGTTCCTTCCGGAGTGCTTTTCACTCATTCATATCATTAATATCCTTTGCCTCCAAACTTCTAATTTGTTAACATCACTTCACAGATTTTCTAGTAGGCATTTAGTAGTCCCACATCTGAGAGATTTGAGAATTTCTGGGTTGCTTAAGATTATATTTACTCTGGAAAAAGCAGCAACTGCTATCTATTTATAGCATGACGTGGTCAGTTGGATGTTTCTAGTCATCTGCTCTCTGCATACATCCACACTAAAGCATGTCAAGTTTGAGCTCAGGCATTTAAGAAGCTTCCAAGAGAGTGAATTAGAGATCTGTGAGTTTTTTTGTTTTCTAGGAACAACTTTGAATATACCCTAGAAGCCTCAAAATCGCTCCGACAGAAGCCGGGAGATAGCACCATGACGTACCTGAACAAAGGCCAGTTCTATCCTGTCACCTTGAAGGAAGTGAGCAGCAACGAGGGCATCCACCACCCCATCAGCAAAGTCCGAGTAAGTCCTGCTGTCAGTTCTCGTCTCTGGGAAAGCTGGTCAGAGCTTACTAGTTCCAGGTCTGAGGCAGATCTAAATTAAGATCTGAAATTGCAGTTTTAATTCACCGCAAAATCGAGAACTAAGTTTTCCAAAAGATACTCACGCCTTCGTGTCTTTACGTCGTGACGCATTCTCTTTCACAGAGTGTGATCATGGTGGTTTTTGCCGAGGACAAAAGCAGGGAAGATCAGTTAAGGCACTGGAAATACTGGCACTCGCGGCAGCACACGGCTAAACAAAGATGCATTGACATAGGTAAGTAGCTCCGGAGCCTGCTTTTATTCCCAGAGGTGCAAGCATCCAGTTTTCTAAATCCAGTTATTTTTGGCAGTGATCAGCTTCCTGCCGAATGCATTTGAATTTTTATGCCAGCTACTGATCTGTTCCAAACATTGTCCTTAGCCTCCTGGAATCGGTGCTCTTAACATTACTTCCTTCATGAGGACATATGCCCCATGTGGTGGCTTTCCATGTGACACTGGGGCCAGGAGCTGTAGCGCCAGCTCGTGTAAGAGTGTCCTGCTTTTCAGTCTACAAATTGTTTGAGGGGTAGTGTCTTCTTTAAGAGATTCTGATTATTTGGAGATGGTAATAGGTGGAGGGAAAAAAAATCACCAAGTTAAAGAAAATACTGCTGCTGTGCAGCAACACACACAGTCTTCCCTAGTTACATGTTGAACTGCATCGAAAGTCTCTTCTGTCTGTAAATAGACCCAGAGATTCATCACTTGGAGTAAGAGCAGCAGACCTGTGCAAATCCATATTTAGTCAGGTAGCTTTGTGAAAACCCGTGTTCTTGCCATGTATATAATTTTCATGTAAGACCATTGTCTGTATCGCAAGATGGCTCTTAATCTTTGTGTTACTTCTTTTCTTTGCCTGTGGTAATATTCATGTTCTCTTTCAGAAGAATGAAAAGAACTGAGTTCCAGTCTTGATTCTCTGGACTTAGTTTTGTGGCCTTGGGACAGTTATTTAAACTTTTTAGACCTAAGTGTCCTAATTTTGATAAAATGGGATAAATTTAAAAATGTCTAAGCTTGCCTCCATTACAAAAATTGTGATTCTTTTTCTTCCTTTTTTGAGCTTCTTTCAACCCAACAAAATGTTAATTTAAAGTATCCAGCAGTGATAATATTAAAAGCTGAATCTTACATTGAACTGCTGTAACCTCATGTTGGAAACTAGAAGCCACGACTTTCTTTTTCTTTCTCGTCCCTCATACAGCTGACTACAAAGAAAGCTTCAACACCATAAGTAACATTGAGGAGATTGCTTATAATGCCATTTCTTTCACTTGGGACATTAATGATGAAGCAAAGGTAGGTAACGAAGTCCAGGGACTCCTGTGTTAACCAGCTCTTTGAGGAGTGGGAGGAGCTTAGTGATTGGACAACCGATTTTTTTTTTGTTTTTTTTCAGTTTTACTTGTTTTCCCTCCTTTGCTAAGGAGGAGGGAGAACAAGCGAGGCTAGGAAGGCAGGTCACGGCCATGGTCATGAGGGGCTTGAAGCAAGACAGGACGAAACAGGCCCCCTGCTCAGCCTGTCCGTGTGTCCTGTTCCTCAGCCAGCTGGTTCTCACTTTCTGTCTTTTCACTGGTTCACATTTTCTGGACATATGGCACTTTCCCAGATGTACAGAACCATCCCTCTCCCCTGTCTGTTCTCTTCTCCCGCAGCAGGGCCAGCAGCCACTGTCTGGCCTCGAGTCTGACTCCTCACTCTGGGCTCCGTTTCCTCCTTTGCAGAGTGGAATCAGTTCCTGACTCTTCCCTCCTCCGGGTGTGTAGTAAGGGTGATTGGAACAGGGCCTGTGAAGCTGGTGGCGTTTCTTCAGAAAGGTCCTCGAGTACAGGTTGTCATTAGTGCTCCGTCTTGTGTCGCTACCCTGGGAACACAACTTGCTTACGGTTCTTCTCTCTTGGGCTTTGACAAGTGAAGAGTTGCCTCCAATTCAGATGGTCATTTGGATAATTGTATTTGGAAGTTTTAGTACCTTTTAAGAAAAATTAAGCAGATTTTTCAGTCATGCTGCCCTTCCTACAGCCTTCTTCCCTTTTAGTAGAACCCATCTCTTCACTAAATTATTAGCACTCTGGTATTTTTTTTTGCCTTAGTTTAAAATTTGGAGCTCAGGCAACACAATAGAAACACATTAATTTCGGGCAGTTGCTCAAGTCAGACTGATCTTTACTGTTGGTTGCAGTCGTAGGAACACTTTTGTATATCAAGGACCAGGTACAAAGTTACCATCACCTTCCTGTCCTTTCTCAACCTTTCTTCAATTTTCTCTTTTATTTATTCAACAAGAATTTTAGCAATTATGGAATAAGACACTGAGTTAGGTGCTAAGTATTGTAGAATTTAATTTTTTCCCACCTAGCCTTGCTATTAAAAATCATATGACTGGATTCTTGAGACCCGTGTTAACTTTGTATTATAATTACTTTCCTTTCGTACTATGGTTGTGGTGTCTAAGGCAAAAGTGTGTCTTAAGAGTGCAGGATATAGTAAGTGGGGTCTGCCAGTCTGTTAGGAAGCTTAAGTTGCTGTAATTGCCTTAAAGTTTTCCTACTGACCACCTCCATCCTATGCAAACGTCTTCAGGCTGCTTAGTCCAGAGTTTGGTGCTTGATTAAAGAGTGAATTCACTACAGAGAAGCTAGTAGAAGGAAAAGTAAACATTTCGTTTTATACAAATGTTGTTAGAGTTATTCTGAAATTAAATATCATAATAGGACTCAACGTGCAAGCAGCCTGTAAGAAGAGTTGGCCGTGTGCCCCCCGGGTGCTTCTGTTCTTAAATCAAGCTAGGGAAATTTGTCCTATTTGCCATTAGGGGCTGATGGAGAAATTGCGGAGGAGCTGATCAAGCGCATCGAAGTCCTGAGTTCATTTTTCTGACTTATGTGTGACCTTGGACTGGTCCCTTGATTCACTGGCTTAGTTTTCCCCCTCTTTTCCGCCTAGGAGAATAAAAAGGCCACAGTGGTCAACTCTCTTCTTTGCTGGGGTGTCGTCAGGACTAATAAGCACTTGTCAGGGTACATGGAGATCTTGGCGGAAAGGCCCTGCGTGTGGGCAGGGTGCTTTGTTTGTTTGATGTGTCACTCTTCAGGGTGGGAGTAATGGAAGTCCAGATGACGGGTAGGGTTAATGGCTGGTTTTACTCTGAAGGCCTTCAGCTTGTTTGTATTAAGAAGTATTGTCGGAGGCATGTCCTAAGTAGCCTTAATAGCATTGTTAATTGATGTAGGGAAATTCAGTTTCATTCTCCTTTCCAGACCCCCAGCACTGACTTGATTTTTTAAGCCTTTGCCAGCCCCCAGATGGGGCTCGTGTCATTTCTTAATGAGGCTACTGCCTTTTGAAGCTGATATCAGGCATCATCTTCAAGTGTGTGTTGAAATTAAGTCTGTAGATATTTTGCTTTCCCTGCAAGTTGATGTTTTCTGTTTTCACACTGAAAGTACTTGATGCCCCAGGGCAACTAGAGTGAATAGATATACATGCAGAATCCTGTATAGATTTTTTTCACTTCTTATTTTGAAAGCAACTCACTTTCTTGTTCTAATTTAGGACACATTTGTTGATTCTTAATTCCGGGTCATTCTCCCCCACAAACATAGGGTTTCTTGGAGACATGTGGCATTCCCTTCTTCCCCCACTTTTTAAAGATATCTAATATACCCTTTTGGCCAAGCCAGGAGGAGCAAAACCAGAATTTCAGCCCAGGGTCAACATGAGAATCTTCTCTGTAGCTTCTGCTGCTCTTTGGAGGTGATTGTTTTTAGGACGTGTCAGGTTGAATCTTGAACACCTTGGCTTAGGTTCTAGGTTGGGAAAAGCACTGTCCAAGCTAGACTCATCCTGTCCCTGTACACACTCCATCACCGGCATAATCATATACTTGCTGTTACCATGGAAACTTGAAGACGTTATGAAACTTGTTTAAAAAAAAGTTATTAGACTTCAAAGCAGCAGGGGAGAAGGAAGTTGCTTTGAAAAGCAGAAATATCTGAGAAGCAATCCCCCCTGGTGGCCCTGATCTCTCTACTGTATATACCTATTTCATTCATTTTTCTGTACTCCACACAAAATTAGATTTGTTTGGGTGGTCGGGCATCTTTTTAAGAGTCAGGAATATCTACACAAATTATAGTTTATCTGACATTCACATTTCATTGAGAAATAACTTAATCAGATTTCTTCCCCCCCTGATATATGGCTGAGATCAGCTGCTTGAGGTAATTTTGGCAGGGAGAAGAAGTGGTTCCCTTTGAAACATTAAAATATGGTGCTCTGGTGAGATGCTGAAGTTTACAATTTGTAAGATAGGAGGGCACTGGTCACTTTGGGAAGAGAGGATTAGGAAATTGTTGGGCATGAGGAGACATCAGGAAGGTGGGAGGAAGATAGACACAGACTTAGACTATAGAAAGATTTCATCCAAAGCCAGCTGTGCACCTTGCCCCCAGTTGCAGGACTTCATAACTTTACCCAACAAATATCCAAGTGCCTGCTGTGTCCATGGTACTGTGCTCCATCCCGGCAGAAGCGCTGGTATTGTCGTTCAGATGTATTGTGTGTTAAATAGGCATTCGTGGCCTGAGATCCTAAATATAACATCATGTTTCTAAGGAAAAGAAACTTTACAAATGAACTTTGGAGCCGCAAATAATTTAGAAGTTGGGGTTATCTGTTCTGCACCAGTTTCAGCATTTCCACAACCAAGTGAGTAACTCTAGATAGGCTGCACATCGTGGACTAGGGTATAACTTTTTGCTTGGATTGTAAATCTAAGAGTTTACAAGAGCTTTGAGATTTGGATAGTGATATGAAGCCTGAAGATCTAAAATAAACAGAGGAAAAAGAAGTTAGGGAGAGAGAATTAACTTCTTTGAATGTCGGTTTTATGCCAGGCACTGTGCTGAGGTGCCTTCTCTGTGTTCGCACTTAACGGGTCAGTGCTGCCTGCTCAGTACCCGTGAGAAAGTGCTTAGTCCTCCAGGTGGGAAGATGTTTGCTGCTTGGTCATCCAAATGAGATCACCTGAGGAGGTAAGAATCTACACCTTGTAATGGACAGAAGGTGTTCCTGACAGGGGGGAATATTTAAAAGTGTCAGCATTCATATTAATAGAGCAGCATTATGGATTCACTAATATAAATTCCCGTGGTAAGTAGACCACTTTTGCTACAGGGAAACAGTTTATGTTGATTGTTGGATGAGTGATGTTTACCTACAAAGGAGAGGAAATTATAAACCAAAAAACCTCTGTATGGAATCAAGTGAACATTGAGTCAGCCAGCTCTGAGGGATCCCTGGCCTCCAGGGGAGCATTCGCAGGAAGGAATATCTCTTGTTGGTATAGGACATGGTTATACTTAACTAGACAGTATGGGAAATGGGAAAACAGGTGCAGTTGAAAGCAGAGCTCAAGATCGCTTTGATCATCTGTGTGTGGCTATGATCTCCATGAGTATGAAGCAGACCTTTTAAAGATGTAATGAAACCCCAGGGATACAAAATATCTAACATGTTTTTCCCAGAGGTGACTTCTAATCCTTACTAGAAGGTGGATTGGGGTGCAGCTACCATTCATACATTTCGTTTTTTAAATAGTAGCAGAAAAGAGCTTGCCGTCAGACACGCACTAAAGCTCCACCTGGAGTGAGCAGTGTCAGACAAGGAATAGGTGTGGAGTCTGAGTTTCTTTATACTGGATTTTGCACCCGTGGCTTAAAACAACCCGAAGACTCGTGAGTTGTCCCGCCATGCCGTGCTGGAAGCCGGTGCTTCCCGATGTCTTCATCAGACCCACAGAAGGAGGCACTCCGGGATCAGGTGTGATGAGCCTTCTCGCGGGCAGAGGGAACTGCACCTTGTCCTTGTGGCAGGATCGTATCTCTGGCGGGACAGAGCCCATCTCAACAGGCTGTTCATGTCTTCATGGTTCACTTCCTTCGCATGTTTCACCTTCAGGGTGGTGCCTTGGCCTGCAGAGAAGGGATAGGACAAAATCAGAGCATCCCCTTCCCCGGAGGGAGAAAACCCTCAGTGAGAGAGCACTTTGTGCTTTTACTTTTAGTTATGAATCTGTCAGCTCTAAGGAGGAACTCCAAGGCATTCTGCAGGATCGTCCTTTGGAACCAAATGTTTTCTGTCATGGAGAGGCTCGTGTTACAAAAGAAAGAGGATTAAAGTAGAATGCAGAGCCTGTCTGGAGCACTGAGAGGCCTGAGCACGGGGGGCCTGGGTCCGGCTGGAGCCCTGGTATCTTTCCCTTCTGTCTCCTGTCTCAGCAAAAGTGTATGGGG